GGTTCGCTCTCGGGGAACGAGAGAGGGAATCCGCTAGGGAAGTCCTCTTCGTCTGCAGGCATGAGTTCAGCGATCTCGCTGGCGCCATCTGTTCTGAAGAACCGTCGTTGTTGAGATGTTAAGTCTCGACAACGCATCAGCGACGATGTTCTGTTCGCCCTTGATGTACGTAGTTCAGGGCCGTATTCTTCCAGAATAAGGCGCCATCGCATTACGCGATCGGTATTGAAGTTCTTACATGTAAGATTCTTGTGGTCCGTATGTACAACGATCTTCTGTCCTAGAAGAAGTTACGGAACTCTTTAGAGTTTCTACGATACTGAGAAGTTCCTCTCGGTAACTGTGTAACGTTTCTGAGCAGGTTGAGCTTTCTGCTGTAGAACGCGATAGGGTTTTCCCTTCTGGGAAATTACCGCCACTAGTTGAGTATCACTCGCATCCTGTGGATAACGAATGTATCGTTGAAGTCAGGGTAGGCGAGCAAGGTTTCTTTGCTGATGATCTTCTTCATCTGGCTAAAGGCTTGCGTGTTTCGGCTTCCCATTTCCACTTCGTTTTTTTGGAAGTCAACGAAGCGATGGGGGCCAGTACATGTGATCGTCTAATCCACATGTCTCGATAGTAGTTCACAGTCCAATGAATCTACGGAGTTCCTTCCTGTTGGTAGGAGGAGCGATATTCTTGATCGCGTCTATTTTCTTGGTTATAGGTTGGATCCCTTCTCGAGTGATCCAGTACCTAGGTATTCAGTTCTCCTCTTGCGAAGAAGGACTTGGTAGCATTGATCTTAAGTCCGGCTTCTCGAAGCCTTCGAGAACTTCATCCAACTTTCAACGTGATCTGCTAGACCGCCGTTAGTTAGGATGAGTGTCATCAATGTATGCACGGACGTATTCTAGGTCGTGCATTAGTGTTCCATCTTCTCTTGGAAGATGTCTGGACTATTACATAGGCCCATCGGCAACCTCTGTACTCGTACTTTCCCCACGGAGAACGATAGTACAGAGTTGCTTCGAGTGAGGTGACAGCTCGTGTGATAGTATCCCATGTTCAAGTCTAGACTAGTAGCGTACTTGAATCCGTCTAGATTCAAGAGCATGTCCTGTATTTTTGGGATAGGATAAGGCTTCCGCTTAATCTTTTGTTCAGTTCCCGGAAATCAGAGATGAATCGTAAGATCCGTTTTCTTGGAATGATGAAAGTTGGTGCGCGCCACTCGGAACGGTTTACCTTCTTGAGTATCCTGCTTCGCAGAGACGTTCAACCTCCATCTTAAGAGTGTTGGTATGGACCCGTGGAATAGGGTAGCCCTGGCATGATAGGGTTTAGCATCAGGGAGAAGTTCTACTTCGTAGTCGTCCATCTGCCACTTTCCTAAAGTACCATCGAATAGGTCAGAGTACTTCGTCAGTAAGGAGTGAAGCTGTTCTTATATATAAAAAAGTACAGTTTTAGGCAGACTACCTATCTGGTCCGGAGGACCTTTGTCAACGCTGGTACGAATCGAGCCCGAGGGCCCAAGCAACTGAGTCGTTATGTGGGTGTTCGCACGACACGAGGGGAATAGCATTCAGTTTCATTGGAACAAGAGGATGTACCTCATAGAAGCACGATGGTAACTAGCTAACTAGTCTACGCTCGTCTTTCACCTCCGTCCCCAACGAGAGGGGACAGGTCCTTGTTTCTCCGCTACCACAGTGAATGCCTCCTCGTGGAGTGCCGGGGGCGCAGTGGCCTAATCGGATTAAGACTAAAATGTGTGATCATCAGTTGCTGTTGCCGTTGGAGCTGTCGATTCGCTGGAGCAATTGCTTCTGGAACTCTGTTCGGGCCAGGGAGGTAGATTCAAGCCATCGTTTTGTCTGTCGATAGTGAATGTAAGGGTGTGGGTTTTGGTGTCCGGGTGGACTCTCCAGTGGTCGACGGGGAGTAGGCCTATGGTGCCTTGGGTGTACTGTTGTCGAACCGTTCGCGTAGAGTGTCCAGTTGGGATAGTTGGGTGGGAGTGAGGGTAGTGCATGGACGGTTCATTTCGGTTGTCCAAAGGTTGAAGTGTAGGTCCAGATCTGTTTGATGAAGGCGCTGTCCAGGCCAGGCCATCTCCGTTCTTCTTGAGTCGTTGCAGGTGGTGTGTTTGGATGTGTTGGAAGGATTGGGAGACCCTGCCAAGTAACAAGTGAAATCGAACTTGAATCCTAGATCAGAGAGAATGTCTCGACCTATGATCATGTCATACGCACCCAAGCTCTTGGTGACTGTAGTCCCACTCGATAATTCTATCTTCGTGGAATTCAGGAATCATAAATGACCCTTGCACTTCGTGCTAGTGTTTAATTCTCCTGCAGGGGTAGTCCACATCGTTTGGACGCCCCCAAATCCTTCATGCGTAATTTCTTAGCATGAGGTTGAGCAATCAAGGTTCCGGATGCTCCTGTATCCAGTAAGCAACGGAGTGTAACGGGTTTTGTTTCCCTTTTTCTCGCTTGTTAAATCTAACATAGCGATGGGTTTGAGGTCTCTTGTCTTGCGACGTTTACGAGGTGGTTGGCCACGGACGAGGTTAACGATGCTAAATAGATCATCAGAGTCTAGTTGAGCAGCTTCTAGGCAATCATCTAATTTGCCGTAGAGTTCATCAGTTGCAAACAATTCTTGTTTACTAGTTAGTGAGATATCTTCATCACTTTGGTATGAGAAATCGGAACATGGTTCCGTTGAGTCATCATCCTGGCCTAATCCTCAGATAGAGATTTCTCCATCCAAGTGATTGAAATTGATAGAGGAGTTGTCCTCATTGTCAGATCTTCTGATTTGCGCTTGGCAACTGTTGCGAAGTTTGCAAGTGTTGACGAGTATCGTCGATCTCGTTTTCTCCGTCATTGTCGACGAGAGAAGAATGGTTTTGTCACAACTGTTTTCGAAAGTTGGGAACGCATGCTTTCCTTGAGCCATCTTCATGGTGAAGGAATAGGTGAGGGTAGCTGAAAGCTATTGTGTTTGTTAACAAAATCACTACGCTAAAAGCTAGTGTAAAGATCTTTCGAGTGTTTTGAGTTTGAGAGAATGAAAGTTATGAGAGAGATTAGAAAGCTATGAAAACTAATCAACGAGAGAGATCATCAAAGGGATCGTAGATCTGGCTTCCCGCGGGAGACTATAAAGTGTGATAGGTAGGTTGTAGTAGTAATCTACGTCTCTCCACGATCCTAAAACGGAACGCGTGGAAGGTTTGTCTAGCTGGATCTAGTAGCGTGGAAGTACTCCACGCTGGCTAAATATCTAGAGCGATGTTTACATCGACCTAGTATGACTACGCGGTCATTGAGAACCTGTCTCAAATGACTATTCACAAGACCGTCCACAGTCATGAGTCGAACTCAAACCCTATCTAGGATCGAGTCGCGAATAAGGCTAAGAGCCGTGTATTGCACAAACACGTGGAATGGTATGGTAGGGGTGCTCCCGTTTTCGCGCTACCTAAAAATGCGCTTCTTAGATGCATGTGTCCCCAATTACATGCTTCACTTTCACAGCAAGTTGCTAAAGAAAGAGAAGAAACCTTGCTCTCGCACCAAAAAGAAGATGGCTGCTGCTTGCAACGCCATTCTCAAGTCTGAAGATGAGGAGAATGATCTTGAGCCTCGTCGTTGGAAGCATGTACTCTTCGTCTTCCTGGACGAGATGGTTGTTTCATCTGACTTGGAATCTGAGACCGCTTCTATCCATGACCAGAAGCAGATGTTGAATCTCCGTTTGATGCAGATCAAGAAGACTCTCATTGGAGAAGGAACCAATCAAGAAGAGATGGAGCAAATGTTCTTTCCCTCTTTCTTTTCGTTTCGTGTGATTGATGAGGATGCCCAGAATGAGCTTAATCTCAAGACCAAAAAGAAGAAGGGAGTGTGTCTGAAGACTCTATTCAAGGGAATGCAACTACATAAGAAAGGTGAGCCAAAGTTTGATGATGACTCTGATTCCTCTGCTTCTGCATCCGATGTGTCTGGCTCCAGTCAAACGCTGAGGAGTCAACAGCTTCGGAAGGAACAAAGAAAAGCAAGAAGAAGACGAAGAAGAAGCCGAAGAAAAAGAAGAGGACAAAGAAGAAGACGAAGGACGAGGATAGCGTTGGAAGCAACTCGAAAGCTGGAGGTGGCAACGGAACTGACGACGAGGAGAACGATGACGATGATGATGCTTCGATGGCATCTAGTAACAAGGAGATTTCCTATTGAGCAGGCACTTCATCCTATTGAATCGCTTGTTTGCTACTATGTATCTTGATGGCTGCTTGGAACGACACGGGTATACTACTTCCTGTTTAAGACTCTACTAACCAATGCTTTGATATTATTCTTTCCAATAGAATCAACTGAATCGGAAGGAGGCAGTAGCTAGTGATAGCAGTGAGGAAGAAGCATCAGCTGTCACGGAAGAAACCTCATTCGTTGACAAGAAAAAGCCAGTGCCGATGCCGCCACTGCCACCGTCACCACCACCCATGCTCCCAAAGCCAAAGCCAAAGGACCCACCAAAACAACAGGGAGTAACTCAGGTTGGAAGCACCGTTCCAGGTACTATTGCACTTATCAGTGATGATGACAAGTCAAGTGCTAGCAAGGCACGTAGTATCAAGCGACAGAAAGAGCTTACCAAGATGTTTTCATTTGACATTGTTGACTTCAAAACCAAATGCAATGAGGACTACAACACAGCACGAAAAAGCAAGAGAGGAGCTCAATTGCGTTTGGTTCATCAAATGGATGCCTTCCCCCTTAAGCAGACCCTCGAGAGCAATGCAACCATGGAGGAGGGAGCTGGGATCGATACAAGCTTCGAGGTCACCAATGCAACCATCGAAAGAGTCGACAGCCGAGCTGCTAAATTCACCAAGAATGCATCAGGCACAGGAGGAGATGTAGAAGAGTTCATTGACAACCTGAAAGAGGGTTTAGACAATGCATCTGATGAAGCAGAGAAAGAACTGAATCTCTGGATAAGCAACCTTGACTCGATACTCTATTCGTGTTTATCTACCTATGCAAGTGATAGAAGAACTATTTAAAGAGTTGCTTTCTTCAAGCCCTCGTCCCTTGGGAGTGGCTCTATTTGTTCGTTGAGACTTTCGCCCTCAATTGTGGTCAACCTTTTTCTCTCATCACCATCGTTAACCACTACTCCTCTTTCGATCAAATCAATTGCCTGGTCGGTTGCGATGACTGGACGCACAAAACGCAGTTTCTTCTTTTCAAACCTAAGGTTGCTCTCTCTTTTCTCACGTTGCTTGACCTCTTGATAGATATGGTTTCAGAATACAGTAAGCTCATGCTCTTGATACTCACTTCTTGATTTGTAGATTGACTCTGGCTTAATCTTCTTCCCATTTGGCAGAATCTGCAAGTGGACGCCATCGTCAATGTCTTTTTCAAGCAGTTTCTTTTTGCTGCTGATCGATGCCAAGGCAGGCTCTTAGGTGGGTCTTTGTCGCGCCTCTCCTTCAGGACTGCCATATCAATACCGAAGAGCATCACATCCTTTGCCATCCTGTGATAGTCGCGAGCAATACTGTCGCAGAGTGTGTAAAGGTTGGACCGAAACAAACTCAATTCCCATTTCAAAAACTCTTGTCTTGATTCATGCACGGCTTTGGGCTTCATTGCAGCCGTGACTCTGCCTGAGATAATATCATCCTTCAACAGGGCTCTAGCTTCGCTCTCTGCCCACATCAATCCATCAACGGTAGGCCTCTTGGTGCTTGTTTTGGTCTTCTTTTTGGCCATGGTCGAACTGTTGAATAAAGTGTTGAATGCAAGCGAAGTGTTGAAAAAACTGTTGACTAACTGTTGAATAAAGTGTTGAATTCATTCAACAGCCTGTTGAACTGTATTCAACACTTTATTCAACACTTTGCTAAAAGATACAAAAGTGTTGAATAATGCACCCATGGTTCAAACTTAGCAACCGCCAAAATTGAAAATATCGCACAGTTGACTGGGAGTCTGGTCATCGCCAGTCGCCAAATTCAGCTTTTGCCACACTTTCCAGTACGGGAAGACGGGTTTGGCTAGTGAGGAGGGGTGGGTCTTCAGCACTTCAGACATCTGGAATGGGGGACCGCAACGGACGGTCCCCTCGGTCCCCTCCTGCAGTAGCTAGGGTTAAGGCTTACCTACTTAACTAAACTTAACTGACGGGTTCCATTCTCAATGGTCTAATTACCAAGTCGACGGTGTCTCACATTTTAGTCATGGATTCAAATGTGTACCGGTGAAACGGATTTAGACATAAGGAATTCGTGATTGGGTCACTCGGATGCCTTGGGCATCAGCTGGCTTGTCTTTACCAGCAACGAGGAGATGCATCACATCATTCTTTTTTGCTCAGTTTGTCAAGGGAGGTGGTGCCACAAATGCGGGAGCATGTTTTCATCAAAATCCATTGAGGTTGTGGACATCACAGATGACAAGTCTGTTGCAGTTGTGAATGTGAGATACAATCTGGAGTTAGAGGGGATTCCAAAGCCTCAACCGAGTCCCAGACTCGGTAGGAATGGTTTTTTGCACAGTCAACTCTTTTGGCACACCCCACTGCCAACTCTTCCACAAAGAGAGACTCCTCATCCTAAAAAGATTCAAGAAAGACCCTACAAACATTATCAACTTCCGCAACGAAATCTTTGGAGCTTGCAGACATGTATCCAAATTCCACAAGTATGTAATAGCAGACCCCAGCACTGATGAGTCCCCACTGAGGGACGAAAAAGTCACACCAACAAAGTAACCACCACAGAGGTCTAACAACCATTGTGCCTGCATGCAGTTTCAAGTTGGAGAACTGCCTTTTAATATCTAATATTCAAAAGAGATGAAAAGACCTTAAGAATTGATAGAAATAAAAGGAAAACCAGTCACTTTTTGCTGTAAAGTATGAGAATGGTTTTTTCTACACGCCAGGGAATAAGGACATGAAGGCTTTCAAGGCGAGGATCAAGGGCGAGATCCCTAACGTACCTCTTTTTGGTTCCAATCCTGTTGTTGTGGAGATTAAGTTCTTCATGAGGAGGCCAAACACTCATTTTAAGGGCAAGGATAAATCGAACCCGCTAAAGACGGGAGTTCCAATTGCCCATGTTGCTGCACCTGACATTGATAATTTGACCAAGTTCATACTGGACGCGCGATGAACGGGCTTGTCAATGAAGATGATAAGCAGGTTGTCCGGTTGGTTGTTTTCAAGCAGTATGATAGCAAAGGAGGGTGTAATGGATGCACTGTTGTCCGAGTGGTGCAGTTTGACGTGTGACATAAGAATTGTTTGCATTCACTCACAGTTGCCAAATCTTCAATGGTCACGTCTCAATTCCACGGCCGTTATAACTTTAGGTTAATGTTACTTAGGGTTAAGGCTACTGTATTCTGTGCGACAGGAATAGCAGCACTCTCAACCAGTCTCATCGTTGAACCATTTACTGCAAGTGGTGCAGAAGTCTTGGCCGCAAGCAGTGCATTGAGTGTTGTCAGACCAGGAGTGTCTCCTCATGCAGTTGGCACACGTATACAAGGTAGTGTTAGGCATCTTTGTGCATGTTCAGTTTTTTTATGGCTGGACTAACCACGCAATACCTCGCATAGATTTGAAACACAGCTAAAATGTTGACCTTCTTGCCAAGATCAATTCAGAGCAAAAATTAGAATGGGATGACAATCCCAATGACCTCTCTATCTTTATTGTGATCATCGCATCTGTGCAACACGAATTCGGCCTCAGCACATACATTGCTGCTAATAGAAAACATCAGAAAGCTGTGACATCTAAATTCAATGTTCTTGGATGTTCCACTATAAAGGTCATCTCCCAGTTTGACATAAAGACCGAAAGTGACGTCACCTGTCTAAAGGAAGGAATGCCTGTGGTAGGATTGAACGCTTTGAAGGCATTCATTGAAGCAAAGCATGCTAGACCTTTTTTGTATGCAAACTTTGCTTTCATTAACAAAATTTATGAGATGGGAACGACTAAGCAGTACATCTTTTGCCTTTTCTTCAACTTCAAAGAAAAGGATGGTGAGTCATTTCGAGGGAGGGAATGGGGAGAAGGGAAATGTGACCAGGCTCTTGTGTATTTGAAGAGACTCTTCGAGAACAAAGCTCAATTCTCATGCATTGCAAGGGATGAGAATCAGGGTTCTAATTGTTTGATATTAAGAGGGTACATGAACCTTATCTCTCCTTGTATACGCAGCAGGCATACGCTAAAAGACTGTTGGGAAAGTACAGTCGTACAGCAGTTGTAAACCTTCTTATTTTGAAGACATGGTGAGCCTGTGTCGGTTCATTCATATTGACCGGGATTTAACAGTCACAGGCAGACTGCCGCATGTTGGTGGCAATTCGATTAGAAAATTTAAATCATTTGCCGGTGATCCGAAGTTTGTAGTGAAGATTCTGCTTAACTCCATTGACAAAAAGGATTTCGAACAACGGCAGACGACAGATGACAAACAAGATTAATTATTAAACATAAATATTAGTTTGAGAAGGGAGTTTTTGACCACGTTTGAATTGCATTGGTGAGAGCTTGGCAGATGGTTTCTGCACTTGCTTCTTGTTCTGTCTGGCGAAAGCAGGATTTAAACGCCCTAGGTATTGAGGTTATCCTTCAGATTGTTCCGAAGTCTGGACTGAATTGTGGATTGGACGATCTCATAAGCTGTTGGTTGATCGAAACTAGATGGGTCACGGAACCTTGGAATCATTCCGCATCTTCACCATTGTCGTCAATCACAAGATACGTGTAGCGATCCTCTGATAAACCTTTTTCGTTGAGGTTCTTTTGGGGAAACTCATTCATCATCACAACCACGTGAGGTCTTTTGGTGAGATACACTGTCTTGCTCTTGTATTTCGGTGTGCTTATTTTTCCATCTTTTACCTCTTCTAGGAAGGGGTAAGACACGTATTGAGCACGAGCTCGAGGAGCATCTATGAATATCACATCTGGCGAACCACCTTCGATGATTTTGTTTGTGAATTGATATGAAATGTGCTCACGCTTGTCAGCACCGATGTGCAACATTTACCTTTCAAAAATTTGTACTGTTCAACGAACCAACTCTTCCCACTACTTCCTTTGATGTCCACCACAAAGATCACCTCGCGGTCGCTGAATGGTTCATTCAACTTCTCATCCAACATTCTCTGCCAGGGACGAAGGGCATGATCTTTAGGTGTTGGTTTGGGCATGTGCTCAACTATCAACCCACGCCAATATTCTTCATGTCTAGCCATGATTTCAGCACAGCAGGCGCGAGCCTGTGCCATTGAAGCCACCTCACATTTTTCGATCTTGGAAGTGAGTTCCGTGTATTCACCACCTTCATTTCCTGTTGCTTCTTTGGTTTTCTCCTTCAAACGTGCAATCTCATCGAGGTTTTTGCCCACCACATAGAAATCATTGTCGTTCAAGCAATAGCGAAACGCAGCAAGAGGTGGTTTTCTCTTCAAGTCATGTGGAACCAAGTGAAAATGAGGTGTGAAATATCCAAAGAATTTGAAAACACCTTCCTGACGTTTAACCACCTTGAAATGAATATAGGCTTGCAGATGAGGGGTTCCACTCTCTCCGATCTTACGGGCTACGATGGCACTGATGACTTTCCTAGATTTCAAGGGTAACAATTCATTGCTTTACAGAGCAGACTTTATCTGATCGTAATCGGCTTGTGTGTAATTATTGAACGTGAAATTCCAATGGCTTCTTTGTTGTTGAATTTCGGTTTCGGTCTTTGATTATCTGTGAGAGGAGTGGCAACATCTGATGCCAGCGTTTCTCTAGATGATTCATCTTCTCCGGGATGCGGATGTGTTGACGGCGGCAGTAGTTGTGGTGATTGATCATTTTGATCAGAAGTTGTTTCATTTTCTCTAGTTCCACTGTTTCCGTCATTGTCGAGATCTTCATTAACAACGAGGGGGTTAGCAACAATGGAGATGTCATTGTCCATTTCTTATTTGTGAAAGATTGGTGTCGTTGGAATGTGTTGCGAGTGATGAGTGACAGGAAAAA